ACCTGTGCAGTGTCTGGAAAGAACATTTTGGCTCACCTGCCAAAAGGTTAGTAAATGAAAAAATACCTGAAAAAAAACAGGGAAATAGGAAACATAGCCTACATCTCTCAAGGAGTCAAGTAAACAATGGATTGGTCAACAAAACGACATGGGCGCCGCTGTCCTTGGCCAACTGACAGTCAATGTTGTTTTCTTTTTACTGTGACCATGATCTTTCTCTACCCTTAACCAAGTGTTTAATGTAAGCATGGTGATGAATATCCCTCAACCCTGACAAAGTATAAATTTTTTACCCAAATCAAGATGTTTTCCTAACCTTAAAGCAGTAATAATGATATTATATAATGATATTAGTGTATCTTATAGTGATGAACCTACACAAAATTAGCAGCTTCCTCTGCAGCTCCCTTTGGCTTTATAGAGCTGTGAGTTTCATTGTTAAGCAAGTGGGAAAAAAAAATATTGCAAGTGTAAGTACTTATTGTAACAAAAACCACAATCTTTCTCTAACCTTAACCAAGTTGTTTTTGTACATAGAGCTAACCAAACCTTCACCATAGCGGCGTAAGATTACAACAGTGTTTAATTTTTGAAACTATACTGTATGATCCTTATACTACCTCAGACAAATACTGCCCTGCACATAAATAGCTAATTGAGAACAGTTGCATTTACACTGACCTTAATCAAACAATCCTAAGTTTTACTTTCTCTTAAAACATAACTCTGTTGATATTCTATTTTTTTCTTATTCTAACTCCCATGTGCAGAACAAAGAATGTATCTCCTAACAGGTACTGTGTGCATCACAGCCTGATGTATCTTCTTCTTTTGACCCGTGGAGCTCCATTGTTGTCCACAAACTAGAAAACACATCAGTGAGCCTCACTGCTGCACTGGGTGAGATGACCCTTAATCACCATCAACACACACACTGTAGTTTATTTTGATTCAGTCCCACATACACCGTCCTGCTGCCCCAAATACTCACTAGAGCACCACATGTGGATTCATCAACTGATAAAAATAGTCCCCAACCAACGCACTGTTTCCTCCTGTTCATGTAACAATAGTCCAAACTACATTTTTATGAAATGATTGAGCCTTTTCTTAAAATAAAGCTCTGTGTGTGTGTCTTTGGTTGTCTTTCCATGCCAAGTTTACTTTTTGTGCATTTTATCTTTCTGACTCAGAGCTGACATTGCCATTATAAATATACAACAAATTCAATCCAAACAACTCAACATTAAAGTGCATTAAGGTGGGGTGAGTGCACATGAGCAATATAAACAAGGGATAAATAATGTATTATGATGTCTGTAAAACGGAACCACTGAACCAGTTCACTGCTGTTCAGAATTAAAATAAATAAAAAATCAGTCAGTCTTTTCTGTTGCTGTACCAGCGGCCCTGCTGGGACATTGGAGCAGCCAATAAAAAGAAAACAGTCCACAGAAGCTACTTAGCAGGATGGGACTCAATGGTGTCATTGACATTTACTGCCAAATACAAATTATTCCCCACCATGCCAATTACAGTGCTGAGAGAGTCTCCTGAAAATCTCTCTGAGCTGTTACCATCGTCTAACAGACACACCTCTTCTACATTGGCAGGAAACGTATCATTAAAATATTACAAAACCTTAAAAAAAAACAGCCGCAGGCGAAATAATTTAGAGAAACTATACAGTGAATCATAATGTGACAGTCAGTCTCCTCTCCTGCAGCTATCTACACTAGTAGAATACAGTAAGTTATTCATCCTCTGTCCACTGCTGACATATTGAACAAATCTTAGGCTATTAGGTGAGTCTACTGGTGATGACATGTAATTTTCGTCACATAAATATAAGTCATGCTGCTTCGTAAACATTATTTTGGTCATGAACATCAAAATCAGAAGAAGTCCAGAACTATAGAAAAAAAAGAAACCATCCATGTGTCTCTTTGTTTATCTTGTTACAGACTACTCCAGACTACGGAGGATAAAAGTAAACAAACTGTAGTGGCATCTCACTTGTAAATGCCATAATAAATGTAAAGGATTTGACCTTTCAAGCATCTTTGACCATCTTTGGGTCAAAAGTGTTCAATGTAGGAACAAAATCTTCTTACCCTGTAATAATCTGTGCTGTAAATGTCTCTGGACATGCCAAAGTCTCCTATTTTCACCAGAAGGCCATTCCCCACCAGGCAGTTCCTGGTTGCCAGATCACGGTGCACAAAGTGTTGAGACGCCAAGTAGATCATCCCAGCTGCAATCTGACTAGCTATGTGAAGCATCTGGGACAGACCCAGCTCCCCATTGGTCTGCAGAGGCTGTCCATCCACCAGGATCATGGCGTCTGGCCCATGAGCTCTGAGGAGGAAGTAACAGAGTCAGTTAAAAGCTCAGGAAATATTTCAGATCAAAAAATATACAGTCAGCCCTGACAATGGTCAGCTGATGTAAAAGGTCATACTGCTGATTTTGCATGTTGGAGCCCATTAACTCCAAATTGTGTATATTGCACATGACTGCTGACTATTTTCAAATGCATACAACCAGTTTTATGATTGATTTCCTTCCTTCAGGCAGCCATAGATTTCATGTCATTTCATCAGTATGAAAATCAACTTGTACACCCTTCAAACTTGTTAACCCCCTTGGGTCTACGGCATCTTTTTTCTTACCTCTTTTAGGTTCACCTTCTGGAATAATGCTTAAATAACCTCTGTAATGCACAATCGAGTAATATACATCTTTTTTTTTTTTTCAGGACAACCTAGGCTAACAGAATTTGTAATGTAGTTATGTCCCATGAGTGTATAAATACATTTTTTATAAGGACAAAGAAATTTAAACCGATATTGAATCTCACAAAACTTTATTCAAACTACTCTGGCAATAAAAATGACAAAGAGTTTTGAATTTTGAAAATAGTTTTTATCAGATTTCTTTAACTCTGAAATATTGATATTAGTATCAATCTAAAAATCCTTTACCAGACGCTCTAATCAGTATGGTATGTGTAATTAGTAGAGCTGAAACCAGTCTGGCCCATCAGTCTGAAAAATAAATGCCAGTGAAACAGTTTAGAATTTTGAAAATTGTTCTCCCAAGTCTTGGCAATCAAGGAAAAATTTTTGCTTTGATCCTTTGGAGCTAATAAGTAAACCATCACCGTAAACTATTTCAGCTAATTACATACACATAACAATCTATAAACTGAAGGATACACTAATAGATAAAGATGAGTTTGCCGTTGGGGGAGGAGGATTCCTTTCATATTCCTGAACACGCCACACACTACTTCATTTAATTTTTATTACAGTTCAGTTGTTTTATTATCAAACATATACGTGTCCACATGCAGATGAAGTGAAATTTTTCAAGCCTTTTTTCAATTTTGTGATTATGGCTTACAGCTCATGGTAATCAAAACTTCAGTATCTCAAAATGTATTAGAATTTTAGAATTTATAACACAGAAATGTCAACCTGCGAAGCGCTCTCTAATCAGCTAATTAACTCAAAACACTTGCAAAGGTCTCCTGGGCCTTTAATCTCTCTGTCTTTTTTAGATGCACATGTATCTTTGTTGTCTGTAATAAAAAAAATCCTAACTCAAAGCTATTTCCACAACTTTTAACTGTTTCCTTTTATCTTCTTCAGTGAATTGAACTTACTCAGGTTTGAAAAAGACGGCATGGTGTCCTGTGAAAGCTCCAAAAACAGCTCCTAAGTGAACCTTTAGGTTAGAATATTTTCCAATGGATCGCATGAAGCAATTATCAAATATTCTGTGGCATTTATGTTTTTGCTTATATTTTTTTATTTGTTATTGATGCTAATTTCATAAAGGCTTGCTAATTAAATGTTTTCATTACATGTGCTGTTATGTTTTCCACTGTAAAATGTCATGGTCAGCGCATATCATGATCATATTTCTAAAAAATAACCAAAACAAGGGGTTCTTATCAAATGCTTGTTTATGGCATGTGTTTATGCTAATAAACCAATACTGGCCAACATGTTTTTTATCAGATTTCTTTAACTCTGAAATATTGATATTAGTATCAATCTAAAAAATCCTTTACCAGACGCTCTAATCAGTATGGTATGTGTAATTAGTAGAGCTGAAACCAGTCTGGCCCATCAGTCTGAAAAATAAATGCCAGTGAAGAGGAAGCTTGTTGTGTCTTATTGTGTGCGTGCGTGTGTGTGTGTATGAGCACACTAGGTTGGCAGGCAATGGGACATCAACAGTGTGTCCTTGGTGAGAAGACAAGTTGGTGTACTTCTCAATTTAAATCCCCCAGGACAAACTGTCCCACTGGATCTCAACACATTCACAAAATGTCCACTATATGATGATTTATCAAACAATAACTCAGTGTCAGTGACACTTCTGACTGACTCAGAGTTGTTACTGTGTCAATGATGTAGCACAGTGGTGACCATTATGTTCAAATAGTGGTGATAGGATCAAGAGACATACAGAGGGAAAGAGAAGAAGAAGTGTGAGTTGGGCTGTAATGACCTGTGTAGTTAAATACAAAGTGAACCCAGTAGTCAATCTGTGTGTGTGTGTGTGTGTGTGTGTGTCTCTGTGTGTGTCTTTTCAGCTTCACTGACTTTTAAGTCTCTAATGGAGGAAGATATGCCAGTAAAGTGGCAGCTCGGTGTGTGTCTATGTGTGTGTATTTGAGCATGGTAGTTTAGAGGGCAATGGGTACCGGCTAAATTAGCTGTATGTCCTGGAAGAATTGATGCCAGCACGTTAATGGAAACACAATTACTGAGCTGAAATTAGCATCCGAGGCACAGAGAGACTCACTGAAAACTGTCCCATACACGCATGCACGTGCACGCACACAAACACACGTTTAGAGTCATACGTAAGCACTGGCAGACTTCACTTCCTGGCGGCGGACTAAGTACCAATGTTCTATTCTGCGGGGCAAAGCATCCTGGGAGCAAATAACATCTAATCACAGCAGACATAATGCAGCTCATTAGCTTACCAACCGCAATTTACAATTTAGGCATTTAGCTTGTGCTCTCATCCAGAGCAGCTCGCAGTGAGTGAGCAGGTAGGGCTGCAGAGTCTGACTCAGATTGGAACCTTCTTTCATGAGATAAGTGAGGCAAGGACCTCAGGGGGAAAAATGTCTCATGTAACGGCTTCCAAATTCACAGCTCATGTTGTGAATTGGTTGTATGTTCAGTCATGCATTCTTTATATTTGGGAAGGCCTCTTCAAGCATTATTTCAGACCACTGCATTCACTATTGGGACACTTAATTACAGAGAGTAATCCATTATATATTAGATGAGCAATTAAAGTCATGCTTTCAATAACTATTCACTAATGTTTCAATATTACAGCATCTTGTGATACATGCCCAGCTGCTCACTTACCAACCGAAGCTGCTGTGGTTGAAGCTAAACAATTAAACTCTTTATTTACAGGCTTATGCAAGAGTCACTACATGTCACATGCAGTATTTATCTTTTCAGGACTGGACTGACCACTGAGAAATGCCATCCATTTGAAATTGTTGAGACAACCCTGTCTCTCAGAATTTACAGTACTTGATGATTTTGACAAATACAATTTGGGGCAATAATGGAATGCGAACTTTGACACCAGAGACTGTGGCTTGCTTCCTGCACCCCAGGAGGCCTAGTTTTAAGCTGATGATACACAGAGCAACTTCTAGAGCAATCGTGCAGGGCAACGTTGCCATCAATGGTAATGAGTAAAGATTACTACCGTCATCCCCCTTCCCCCAGCACTCCGCCACCCGCCCCGTCGCTATCCGTTCAAACGTCGGTCTTGCCACTAGCAAGATTGCTCAAAAAATTGCCCCGTGTATCATCAGCTTTAGGCTACAAAAGCCCAAAAAATAGTTAACTTCTTTTTAATATATTTTGTCCCTAGTATTGTTTTTCTTATTATTATTTTCATTAATGGTGAAAATATTTTGATGTTGTGCCACCACCAGGACTCCCATCATGCTTTGGGCGTAGTAAACAGGAGGTGTACTGTTGCATTTAACTCAGTTAATTAGCTGTGGGCTACACCAGAGCCCTAAAACAATGACTGGATTACTCTGATATGGAAGAAAATGTCTGAATGGAATGATTTTGAGGTAATATCTGAAGTCCTAAGGAGCATCATTTTGTTGTTTTTTTCTATACAGATTCATGAATATTTATCCCCAGCAGACTTCAGAGACGAATTAATGTTTGCAGCAGTGTGTGAAGGATGTCTGTGTGAAGCTGGACTTCCTGTAATGGCCACTAGATGGTGTCTCTATCTCTGTGTAAAGAGACTGCAAAAAGTTAAGGAACGTTTGGTATATTTATAATATAATGTTTAAAATATTCTTTGATGAATTAAATGTAGTTGCTGCTAACAAAACGTTCAGGATTTTGGTTTCAAAGTCAAATCAATCAGAAGCTTTGCTTCTCAGGAAACAATGTCTCACATTCGATACAAAACAATGTCTAATGTATTCACTAGTGTAAGACGCCAACTGGCCTGTCCTAACTTCCTGCTAATTATGTTTCTGCAAACACATTCATGGCAACGTCATCTAGTTGCTTACGTCTTTGTTTTACTCCAGTGTGCTAGCAAAGCTGTCAGCTCAGTGTGTGTTTGGACCCCAGATCCAACAGTTCACAGTAAACTGAATGATTCTCCTCAGATATCCTCAGCTGCAGCATAGAACACAGTGGATGGAATGACTCTCTGCTGATTCTTGTTTGTCTCTCTGGCTACAGCTTTGTTCTCTCAGGCAGCCTCATCAATTAATCACAGAGGATCTAGACAGCCTGCACCGCAGTGAGGCAGGACACTAACAGAGACACAACAGTAGGGTCAACCAGCCTGTGGGCCAAATCTTGCCCTTCATCAAAACTATTTCAAATCAGGGCGCAATGAATAGAAATTCTGAGAAATGGTATTAAGAATGGCTCTGAACTTCGACTTCAAGTCAAAAAGAAAAGTTACTATTTAGGAGAGTGTAAAAATACTTTCAGACAAATGGTTATGAATGGGCCTGTATTTTGAATGTGCGGCAGCAGGGGTCGATTCCTTATTTTAATATTACTCTTTTAACAACCCCAAAGTATTTCATAGCCTGGCCAGTGTAATAATTAATGAGATTTTTAACTAATTGTGAGCATTTGATTGTATTTACATTGAATTTATGTTGAATTTACGTATTATGTCATGAATTGGATGCCTCTCGTGTGGCAACAGCAGGCAGGAAAGACTGGAAGTGGCAGAGTCTCAGTAGAGACACAGGGCATCGGTGGGGACAGCCAAGCTGTTTCAGATGTCCTGCCAAGCCCAGTAAACTTCCAAGT